GCGCCTTACCTGACTCAGTCAGGGCCCAGCTTTGGACTCCTGACCCCTCCCACCCTGTTTTCCAGACTCAGGGGAGTCAGAGGCCGACTTGGAGTGCAGCTTTACCACCATCCATTCCTCCCCTCCACAGCCAGACCCAGACCCTCAGTTTGATGTGACGCCCCCTACACCAGGTAAGTAGGGGCCAGATGTGGGGAAGGGCAGTGTGTGGGCCTGGCCAGGGGCTGGTCACGATAGATAACCACTGGCCCAACATCAACGCTGCATTTGGTGGCCACTGAGCACCAGTTTCCTCCCCTGGAAGACAGACGCATTAGCCCTTCCTTCTCCGCCTGGTGGCAACAGGGTGTGTGATGGGCAAGTCCAGCTTTCTCCATTGTTAAGTGGCCAGTGGCTTTTTCAGAGCATCTGCCATGATTCATGGTGTTGATGGTTCTCTCCTGCCCACTCCCTCTCCCAGACCCCCTTCTCCTCTCCCCAGGATGCCCAGGTACCACAGAAGAGTTGTCCCAGCCCGAGGTGCCAAGCATATCCAACGGCTCCCTGCCCCAGACCCCTGAGCAAGAGAAGTTCCTCCGCCACCACTTCGAGACACTTACTGACGCCCACCCTGAGGGTAGACCATGCCCCTCTCTGACCCGTGCCTGGGCAGCATCCAGGGCTGAGCTCAGTGTGGGCTTCTCTGGGGCTAGGCTTTCCCTGGCAGGACTGGCGAGGGTGGTGGGAGGGCGTGTGTTTTACTTGGGGGCCCAGCTGTATGGTTTCTCTGCCTGCTCCATTTGCTCCCAAAGTGTGTGTTGTCTATTGATGGGGGTTTCTGAGGATTGTCTGCTGGTCTGTGGGTCTGCCTGGGCCCAGGGCTGGCTGGCTGGAGGGATTCTGAGGGCGCCCTCGGCATCTTGCCCTAGAGCCCTTCCACGGATCCCTGAGAGACCTGAAGGCCTCTGAGGCCGAGGACAACTTCTTCAATCCCCGGCTGAGCATCTCAGGCCAGTTCCTCTCCCGCCTCCAGAAGACAACCAGGTGGGAGCTGGTGAACTAGTGAACCCCATCCCGCCTTCCAGCTCTCTGTCTCTCCGTGGGAAGGGGCTGTGTGCCCTCAGGCGCCCCCAAGGCAGCCACAACCACCTGTTTTCCCCCCTACAGGTTCACCCACACCTTCCCTTCCCGGCTGCCCCTGCACCTCGTGAAATCCCCAGAGGTCAAACTCATGGATCTCAGGGGGAGCCCGCCCAGAGCAGAGCCCCTGAGAGCAGGTACTGGCTACACCTGCCCAGGCAGGACCAATGTGAGTACTGGGGCCGCTTCCCTCGAGACAGGGCTGGGAGCCTGGTGGCCTTATCCTCACCTCAAGGCTATGCTTGCAGGTCATCTCTGGGGGAAAGGCTGAGGAGCCCCTCGAGACCCTGGAAGCCTGGTCCCCACTGAGTGAGTGTCCCCACCCCCAGGTGAAAAGCCCTAGCCTTCTCAGCAAATGGCCCTGGGTGCCTAGCTGAGCCATGGTGGGGATGGACAGGATCCACTCAGACCCTGCAGCCACCCTGGCTGGGGCTCCCTGTCCATCAGCTCTGAGCTGGGGTGTGAGAGTAAGCTGCCTCTTCCTTTCTAGCCCCCTGCCTCACAGGCCTGGCGCCCTGCATCCTGCCCTCCTCTGTGCTGCCCACAGACAAGAAGCCTCCGACACCCACAGCTCTACCCACTCCAGGCCTGGCTCAGGGTTTCCACACCCCTGCCGCCCGCTCCTGCATGGAGGCCACTGCCAGTTCCTGTGCCAGGATACCACACAGCATTTCCATTGAGGACAGTGAGGGCCCTGTCCTGGATGAGCTGGCCAGGCCTCTGTGCAGGTCCTCGTCCCTGGGGGAGCTGGCCTCCCTGGGCCAGGAGCTCCAAGTCATTACCACCACAGTGACACCCAGTTCTGACAGTGAGGGCCAAGAAGCTGCCCTGCCCTCCCGGGGCAACCATGAGGCCCGCGCCAGCCTGAAACTCACCCTGCCAAGCATCTGTGACAGACTTGTGTTGCCCCCACCCCAACTGGAGCCTCCCACCATGTGTGTCTGGTCCCAGGAGCCTGTGGCCATCCAGCCCAATGTCATGGTCACAACAGCCAGCTTCCTGGCCCCCAGCCCTGTGGATGGGAGTGCCCCAAGACTCCACAACGCCACCTTTCTCCCAAGGTTCCTGGCCACCGAGTCCCTCAATACCCCTTCCCATCCCAACAGCCCCCCACTTCCAGAGGCCAGGCCTGGGGTCCCTGGCAGCATCACCTCCCTCCTGGAGCCCACCCCTGGTGAGTACCATCCTTGGGACAAGGGATTGTCCCCTAAGCTCATCCCATGTAACAGCTGGCTCAGCTCCAAAGGTGGGCACTTGACCTGGCCACAGGCGCTGTGCCACTCATTCATTCATTGCCTTACATATTTAGTGAGTACCTCGTTTGTGCTGGGCTTTGTTCTGGGCCCTGGGGACGTGGGACCTGGTGGTAAACAAGACTACAGAGAATTGACACCTTAACTGGGGGAGACGCCCAGACTAAATCTAGTAAGGAAAGTGTTCAGTGTATCACAAAGCGATGTGTGCTGAGAAAAAGAGAAAGAAAGGGTTTAGGGAGTGACAGGTGGGAGCAGTGGTTAGTTTTAAACAGGATGATGAGAAAAGGCTTTAGGGAGAAGGTGGCATTTGAGCAGAGACCTGCAGAAGGGGTGGGAAGGTAGCCTTGGGGACTGAGGGAAGCATCCCAGGCAGAGGGACAACAATTGTGGTCGGCCCAGCAACACTGGCCTCTTTAGACCAGCTAAAAAGTAGAAGTGTCTTTCTCATTTCGTCCCCTCCACCCCCAGATGCGCTCAGTCCAGTCCAGGGCTGCCCTGGACACTGCGGGGAACCGAGGGGGCCAGCCAGGGTACTGCCCCCAGATCCCCTTGAGCTGAGCAATGTGGGGACCGTCGTGCACAGACTGCAGACTACCTTCCAAGAAGCCCTGGACCTTTACCACCTGGTGAGCCAAGCCCCAGGGTCAGGGGAAAGGACTGAGGGGCTCCCTGGCACTGCCTGGCCCAGGTGGCCCCTAACAAGATGGGCGCCCCTTGCAGATGGTCTCCAGTGACGAGGTGGGCGCCGAGCAGCGGCAGGCACGGACTGAGCTGGCCTCCACTTTCCTTTGGATCCACAGCCAGTTAGAGGCCAACGACTGGCTGGTTGGGACCGATGTGGCCCCAGCCCAGGCCCTGCCCAACCCAGGCCCCCCCTCCCCACCTATACTGTGCCCCCTGGCCAGCCCAGACTTGCGTGCCCTGCTGGAACACTACTCAGAGCTGCTGGTGCAGGCCGTGCGGAGGAAGGCACGGGGGGACTGAGAGCCAGCAGCCCCCTCCACCGCAGCCCTGCTGCTTCTGAAGAAATAGTTACTTTACGCAAATAAACTGACAGCTTGGAGGAGTGGTTCCTGTTCTGGCGCATCCACAAAGCCCCCTTCAGATGGATGCAGGGAGAGAGGGTAGAGAGCCCAGGGAACTCACAGATGCCCCGGTGCCAGGCCCTGTTCCAGGACTCTGTCGTGGGCAACACAGGACTGTTGGGGAGCTGCAATAATGATGACCCCAGCACCTGGCTCCCACGTCACCTGTCCCCAGCCCACTGAGCTGCTGTGGAGTCACATGTGGTCCTTGCCCAGTGGGGCCCAGCTGTACTCTAGGGAGGGGCCAGCCCTTCTTCTCTGCCCCCTACTGATGTGCAAGAACCCACTGGAGCCTCTGATCACCATGTCCCAGACCCTGGCCACCAGTTCACATACTGCCACAACACTGGCTCACGGCCCCTGGGCCAGTCCCATGCTGGATCCTATGAGCTTCAGGCTTTTGTTCCCATTTGCAGCAGGGTAAAGTGAGGAAGGACAAATCCAGGGAGCATACCTAGGCCACCCAGCAGCTGGGACCAGTAATTTCTTCCCCAGCAAGACTGTGTCCAGCTTCAACATCCCATGAGCTCCCAGCACTGGTACCAGCTTCCCTAGGCAGCCGGCATCTAGCCACGTGGCATGTCTGCTAAGAAGGACACTCTTGTGACAACAAAAGCCCTCACTGTCCCAAGTCTGTAAAAAGGAAGCCGGCAGGAGCAGAACCCTCCTAGAGCACAGTCGTACTGTGCAGCCTGCTTGGCCTGAACCCCCACTTGCCTGTGAGTTCCTCACTGCTCTGTTTGGTGATCACGGCCCACCAGAAACAGGCTCAGAGAGATCCAGTGCCTTGCCTCGGGTCCCATAGAGTTGAGAGTCAAATGAGGCTTGCCTGGTGGTAGAGCCAGACTCTTTAACATGAGGACGTGGCTCTCTGTTGGCCCTGTAAACACTGAACCAATCATGCAGTTGTTGAAAAAAATCCTACCAGCCCCGAGGAATTGCTGGTCCCAGCTGCTGTCACTGCTCTACACGGTAGGGGTAGATCAAGGAACAGGACAAGCAAAGCATCTGCCCTCGTGGCATTCACCTTCTAGAAAGTGAAACACGACAGAAATTAAAATAACTGTCTAACTGTAGGTAAACTGAGGGCATTCCCTGTGCTGGTTACAGGACTTTCTTAGGTAATGTTGGAGCTGAGGCTTGATAGAGGGCACAGGCCGTGTGGACACGCAGGCAAGTATCCAGGCAGACAAAGGCCGGTGCAAAGGCCCCATGGCAAGCTCAGACGTCCATGAAAGGAATAGCAGTGAAGCCAGGAGGCTGGAATGGAGTGAGCTCAGGGCGAGGGTAGGAGAGGAGGTGGGAGGAAGAATGGGTCCCACTGGGCAGGGCCTTGTTGCTTCATGACATTTAAGTCCAAGACACATTCACAATACAGTTTTTTTCCCCTAAATAAAATGCCTGATCTTGGTGTTTGGGAAGATGCCCAGTATTGTTTATTTCTCAAGGCTCCCTCTCCCTGCCCCGGCCCACTGGCCACCCCTGCAGACTGGAGACCCACTTGACCTGCCCCTGCCTGCCTCGGCCACAGGTGCCTAAGATCTCTGAGGTGTTTGGTTTCCAGGACCCTGGACACCCAGGGGACCACCTTGAGCCTCGGTCCCTCATTGATTTTACCCCTCCTCCCACCCTGTATCATAGTTAACTCTTCAACTCCAGGTAGCAAACACCTGGCTTAAGGGGCCCCAAGCTAAAGGGACATTTGTTACTCTTGATTCTGTTCCTGCTGTATTTCACCCTCTGTGAGTCTGAGTTTCACTCTCCAGCTTAGGCCCTCATGGTGGCAACATGGCTGCCATAGCTCCCAGCAGTACACCTTCACCCAACCAGGAGCAAAGACACAAAGCAGGGCAGCCACCAGGATAGTGGGGAAAAAGTGCAAAGCCTTCTTAGATGCCTCCGCTTTCAGAGCAGTTGCAGGCAACAGGATTGGAGATGCCTTTAATTTGCTTGGACCAGCCACCTCCCCTGTCCTGGGCCTGTTACTGTTGCAACAAAATTGGGTTCTCTCAGCACAAAAGGAAGGTGGGCTGGTAGGATCCAGTGTGTCTGCCAGTCTCCACCTCGTAATGCCAAGCTCTTCAGCCCTGGAAGGACCAGACTTTCCTCAGACAAACCGACTGGTTAAGAAACCACAGCTGATGAATGTGTGTGCATGCGACAGTGCGCCAGCAGCAAGAGGACAGCATGCTTACGTGGGATATTTGAAAGAGAGCTTAGCAGAGGGATCATTTGCAGAGAAGTGGACAGGGAACAGGGAAACCTCAGGGCCAGTGCATGACCCTAGACTGGTAACAGAGGAGAGGTGTTACTCCCCACACAAGGCACAAGGGAGCAAAGTGGAACCCAGAAGAGCAAATCCTGGAGACAGCTGCCCTGAGGGGAGTTGTGTTCCTGGCAACCCCACAGGGAGGGAGTTGGGGGAACCCCTCCCCCATCTTCTGCCAGGCTCCCCATTGTCTAAACCCCACTGGAAGCCAGAGGGCCCAGGAGCCCAAATGATACTGACCACCCAGGTCAGCTTCCCAGGACATAGAGCAGGACAGAAAAGGGACCTGGGGGCAAGTAAAGATAGCCGGCCCCAGGGTTTTTCCCTAATGTGTTTTCAGCAACAACTCAGGAACCAGTTGTCCCAAGAGATGTGGTGTTGGGCATGGAGAACTGGGCACCTGAGACAAACAAAATGGCTCCCATAACCTGCTCACTGGCTTGTTCTTCAGTGCCTCTGGCCCCAGTGCATCTGGCCCTGCGTCGGTCAGGTCCTAGATACTGGGCTGCCGACCCAGGCCAGGCACACCAGTCACAGCTGCGTTAAGTCCAACAATTGGGAGATGGAGACACTTAAAATCCCACTTTACAGGGACATCCCTGGCAGTCCAGAGGTTGAGACACCACCCTTCCACTGCAGGGCGCACAGGTTCGATCCCTGGTCAGGGAACTAAGATCTCGCAAGCCATGCAGTGAAGCCAAAAAAAAAAAACCCATTTTACATGGGCTGATTGAAACTCAGATGCTTGCCTAGCCACCCCACCCTTCAAGACTTTTGAACAACCCGCATTTATATGTCTGCTGCATGCCAGATCCTCGCCCTGGGTGATCTACATGGATTTTCAACACAAACTAGGAAGACTCAGTCCCATTTCCAGATGAAGAAGCAGGCTCAGCAAGACAAGATGTGACTTGCCCCAGGTCCTGCAGAGAGAAAGTGGCAAAGCTCTGGGCCAGCAGGCTTCCAGCGCTTCCTCTGTTGCTTCCGCAAATGAATTTAGCCGGACTGACTCTCAGGGAATGTGAAGAAATGAATAAGTATTGCTTCTTTCACCATCAAGCCTTTTATAGACTGTTCCTCTGCCTGGAAAACCCTCCCTGTTTACCAGAAACCTCTTCTTCCTTCAAGGCTCACACCTAGGAAGTCATCCCTGAACCCTTAGACTGGATCAGGAGCCTCTTCTGGGTCCCCTGAGCCCCCTGGCTTTTCCCCATTGAAGCTTGGGTCACTCTGCCTGTGCTTCCCCCATCACAGCCTTGGTCATTCTGGACTATCACTGGTGTGTCTCCCCCATGGACCTTTATGTCATTTTCAGTGCTGAGCTAGGCTAGGCCTATAGTTGGAGATCAGAAAATTGTTGGGTGAATAAGTGAAAGTAACTGCATGGGGAATATTCAAAATCCTTAACCCCTGGCTAAGAAGCCAATGACCAATCTAGAACGGAGCCTGGCCAGAGTGCTGGGGTAAGGGTCCTGGGAGCCCCTGGCTGTGTCAGGTGACCCCTTATAGTTCCTGGACCGTAGGAGAGTGAGGGAGTTACTAGGAGCTGCACTAGTAACAAACCAGTATTGTGATACCCCATACACTTGAACAGTGCTTCCGGCTGAACGTCGGCTCTGGGCATCTGCGGATCAGAGAGGTAGAGTTTCCCGCCTGAAGATGCACAGGCTGGATCCTCACTTTGACCTTACCAATTGGACCCTGCTGTCTCTCCACCCTCTGGAGCAAGCAATCACAGTCACCCCCTCCTCTGCTTCCTCAGACGGCTGCTGTGATTTGAATAACCAAGCAGGCTGTTGGATGTCAGGTAGTGACTGATTTGCTTGGCAAACAGACCCTCAGGTCTGCTGGTAATATGGAAAAACACTCAGCCCCACTGGGGTCTCTGTTTCCTCTCTCCACCCCCAAGGGCTGCTTAGGTTCCAGTCTTGCCCTTGCTTGACCTCCCGGGGGGCCCTAGTGCTTGTCTTCCCCTGGAGGCTGGAGAGTACCCTCAGGAACCTGGCAGAGGAGAAGGCGGAGGAATGGCAGGGCCCAAGGCAGAGGTAACTGGAGCCAGCTAAGTCTGCCCCCTGGGCCTGTCACAAAATTTGCATGGAGAGAATGAGACCTCTCTGTGACTTCCCCCTCCCTTCCCACCTGGAATAGTCCTCCTGGGCCTGAGGTCTGACAGCAGGTGGAGGAAGCAGCCCTGTGTGGGGGGGAGCTGTTCCCGGTGGTGATGCCCCGCGCCTTCCTGGTCAGGAGTTGGCATCCACAGCCACCCAACTGGGGCCACCTGCCTGACCAGCTCCGGGGACATGCCTATGTCCCAGGTGGGCCCCTCACTGGGCCTAGAGGTGAGGGGCAGGGGAGACACAAAGCATCATCATCTGGCTTCTCTCCTCAGACTGCAGCAGGCTGGGGGGGCCACTGGCACACCAGTCTTCTGGCCTCTGGGACTCTTGGGCAGCGGTGAGTCTGCAGCTGGCCCACAAGACCCTGCTCAGTTTCATCCCTGCCTGCTCTCAGCCTCCAGAGAACCTGCCTGCCCCTTACCCCCTCGTGCCACTCCAGCCTCGGGACCTTCCCACCCATTGTCCTCTCTGCTGGAAATGCCTTTTCTTTTTTAGTAGTGGGCTCACTGTTAGCCCTCACCCCAAGTACCCTTTCCCCAGGGTGGGCAGCCACAGCCCCTGCCCCCAGGGATTCTCTGCCCAGTGGGGCAGAAGAACAGGATTCAAACCAATAATGGGTGGTGGTTTGCATTACGTCAGAGAATCAGACAAGGTGACAGGAGCTGGATGGGGGATGGGGGAGGAGCTTTGGGGTCTCTCAGAAGGGATACTCAGCTGTGCGTGCATTGGAAAAAGGAAAGCCCTAGGCGGGATGTAAATGTGCTGGAGATTATTTCAGTTTTTATTGGGAGCCAGGACTGTCCTAGGCAATGGGTGTTGAGGAGTAAGACAAAAACTCATTCCTTCCTGAAGCTTATAATCTGGTGGGAGCTGCAGGTATAGATAATAAAATTGGGGAAAAAAATATTATGTTGGAAGATGGTATGTACTATGGAGAAATAGAAAACAAAGGGCGATGGGGGGCAGGGTGGTCAGTGAAGACCTTGGGGAGAGGGTGGCATAAGCACGCACAAACTGCAGTCTCCAGCCTTCCCAGACCTCCTTGGTTCCCAGTTCTAGGTGCTCCATTTGGTCCAGTGGAGGGGTGGGGTGGGGTCCTAACTCCCATGTCCCTCCCACAGCCCTCCCAGGGCACAATGACTGCCACTCCTAGGGGCCCTGGGATGCCTGGCTGCCCCCTCTGCCCCAAGGCTTCCCGTTGCAGCGGATGCTGACCCGGCACCTCAAGTGCCACAGCCCTGCCCACCACCACGTGTGCCACTACTGTGGCAAGGGCTTTCACGACGCCTTTGACCTCAAACGGCACGTGAGGACTCACATGGGTAAGCGGCGGCAGGGACTGACTGGGAGGCGCTGCTGGGGGGGGATGGAACGAAATGGAGGGAGGTGCATGGGATGTGGAGTTTCTGTGCACTTGAGTTCCGTGCACAAGTGGGGCATGTGTTAGTGGGGCAGAGACTCAGCCTTCAGGAGGCTGGGAATACCATGCACCTCAGCTCCCAGCCAGTGGGTGTTGGGGTGGTGCCAAGGTGGGGGCCTGCTGAGGGATACAAAGAGAAAACAGGTACTGGTTACAGGATTCAGGTCGCATATTGAAGGGTGCAAGGGAAAGCCTCCCTCCTTCTCCTCCAGGGGAAGGAACATCCTGGTGAGGAGGGTGGGGACACACAGCTCCCACGTTTGCACGGGGTGGAGGTAGCAGATGGTGGGAAGCAGGCCGAGGTCTGGCGAACCTGGAGTAGGAAAGGGGGAATGCTCACGGAGGGCGAGGTCAGAGGGTGCTGGTCTGGGGGCCATTGCCCTGTCTGTCCTCTCTCCCTCTGGCCCACCTGCGCAGGGATCCGGCCATTCCGCTGCGGAGCTTGCGGGAAAGCATTCACGCAGCGCTGCTCACTTGAAGTGCATCTTGCCAAGGCACACGGACAGCTGGCCAGCTACGCTTATCGTGAGCGCCGTGAGAAGTTACATGTGTGTGAGGACTGCGGCTTCACCAGCTCGAGGCCTGACGCCTACGCGCAGCACCGCACCCTGCACCACGCTGCTTGAGACTGGGAACCCTGTGTCCAACCCATGAGAGGGAAATAAACAGAGGAAAGGCACGCATAGAACACAGCATTTATTACACAAGGGGGAGAGTGGTTCACTCGGTCCAGCGGTGGCCGCAGTGTGGGGCTGTGCACACGTAATACAAGCGCATGGCATCCTGGCAGAAAGGATGTACGGTTAGGAAGGGTCTGGATCCACAGGGCTGGGTACAACACGAACCTCCATCCAGAGAAGCCTCACCCCAAAAGAACAGACTAGGGGGCTTTCCCCACTACTAAAGGTCCAGCTCGAGATGCCTGGAAGGGCAGGATCTCCCCAATATTGGTATCCCCACCCCTGGGAAGGACCAGGCCCAGGTCACTCCTAAAGCCTTGCTCTCACCACTCACCTCGGCCCGGGCACTGTGTGACTGGAAGAACACCGCCTCCTTGTGGCCGCACCTGAGAGAACAGTCAGCCACTCAGAGCCTGCCATACCCTTCCCTCCTCCCTTCTCCGTCCGGTGAGGATGAGCCACCTTCCCTCCCCAATACCAGCTGCGCGCTCACTTTTGGCAAGGGTGGTCTTCGGTCCGCGGCAACGTGGGGTCCTGGGACACGTCAGCGATGATCTGGGTCAGTTCGCTGAGGGAATAAAGGGTGAATAAGTATGCTTAGACCGGGCCTCCCAAGCCAACAACCCCGTCTCCGAGCTCGGGCCCTGCCACTCACTCCACTTCGTGCGTGATTTTGTTGACGTAGATGCAGCTGTTGTCGGCTTCCTGCTGGTAATCACAATTCCGGCACTGCGAGAGGGCGAGAGTGGCGGGAAGGGGGTCACAGAGAGATCCCCGATGGGACTGGGAGGGCATGGCCTTCCCCCGAGGGGATGACTAGGGGATGGAGTCTTGAGGTTGGGATCATTGGGTGTAATCGAGAATCACGTCGCGGATGGGCAAGACGAGAAAGTCGGGTTCACTAGGGGGACAGTTGGGAGGGTAGACCAGGATGGGGCGGCACTGGGAGTAGGGCCGGGCCACGTTGGGAACCTGTGGGCCGGTCACGGAACACCGGGGCGCCCGGCTGGCTCGCGCTCACCGCGTACAGCAGAATGCGGTTCTCCTTGTCCTCCTTGGGGTAAAGCATGTTGTTACTGTGGGGAGGGGGGAGGTCTGAGGTCAGTACTGGGGCCACTACTTGCTCCCCTTCCACAGTGCTGGCCGGGTCTCACCATTCCTGGCAGAATCGAATACCCACGAAGCCCGGCTCGTAGGTCCCATCGGGTTCCATGGCGACTCACTGCCCGCCTAGCCTTCAGCGCTTGCTCAGCCGCGCGACAGGTCGCGGGAAGGGTCAGATCTCTTAGCTTCGCCAAGAGGGGAGGAGCTGCGCACATGTAATGGCTCCCAGTGGCTTTGTGCTGGCTGATCTGAGCTGAGGTTTGATTAATTACTTGCTTCAATCGTTTGATATCCTAGAATATGGCTTCCAACTTCTGGGCCTTTCTTCCCCAGTTTACAGAATAGTGTGGTACGAGAACCGGGAAAAATGATGCGTCACGTAACCCTCAAAGTGCTGAGTGTAAATGGAGAGGCCTTGGCTCTTTGCAGGTTGAAGGCCAGTGCACATGCGCGGACAGGGGTAGCTCTTGCCAGTCCTTCCTCTCGGCTTCAGCCTTCGCCCGCCAGGCCGTTTCCCGTGACGCTATTGGAAGAACTGTGCACTGTGAGAGACTTCTCAGGATTGGCTGGGCCTACCCAGGACTTCTTCCAGGCGGCGGCGAAGAGACGCGGCGATTGGCCAGGTCCGGGAGCAGGGGGAGGGGCTGATATCCCAGAAGCGGCGGCGGCGGCGGCTGCGGAGCCGGTGTGAGGCGGCTGACTGGGTTGCGGGACCCCGCAGGGCGCGGCGAGATGGAGGTGACGGGGTTGTCGGCGCCTACAGTGAACATTTTCATCAGCAGCTCACTCAACAGTTTTCGCTCCCAGAAGCGGTACAGTCGCAGCCTCACCATAGCTGAGTTCAAGGTGTGGCCGTGGGGGCGGGGTCCTGAGGGGCGGGGCTAGTGTTGAGGGGGCGGGACCAATAAGAAATGGAGGGTCTTCCCCAGCGCAGGGAAGGGGCCAGAGATAAGCCGAGGTTGCAGAGGTTCTGGACTGGACCTCAGCGGGCGGGGCCAGAGGGAACCTGAGGTTCCAGAGAATGGGTGCGGGGCCAGAGAAAAAAAGAGGTTTCAGGGAGTGGGGGCAAGACCAGAGGAGGTGGGGCCAGGGATAACCAGGTGGGTCCTAAATGGTAGGTCTCTTGGAGGAGCGAGGAATGGGTGATGGTTATTGATACAAAGGGCGGAGCCTCAGGTCAGCGAGTGGGGCCACTGACAGCCTTCCACCTCGTCCCCGCCTCCTCATCTTGTTATCCCCACAGTGTAAACTACAGCTGGTTGTGGGCAGCCCTGCTTCTTGCATGGAATTGGAGCTGTATGGACCTGACGACAAGTTCTACAGCAAGCTGGATCAGGAGGATGCACTGCTGGGCTCTTACCCCGTAGATGACGGCTGTCGCATCCATGTGAGGCCTCCCTACCTGGGATCCCTCCCCTCCGTTCACTTATTTATTCAATAGATGCTTGATGTGCTTTGCGCTGTGCGATAACCAAAATAGGCCCTAACCTCATGGAGCTCCCAGTCCAGCAGTGAGAGAGACAGACCCATCACCAGACATTGGCAGCCAGATTGGTCTGGACTGGGCTGAGAAAAGCCTAGGGGACTGGAGGCATCCAGAAGAGGTGCCTGACCCCACCTCGGGGTATCAGAAGGGACTTCCTGAAGTTAGGGATGCCTGAGTTGAGATCTGAAGGATGACCTAAGAGAAGAGGCAGGAGGGGCATTCCAGGCAGAGGGAACAGAGTGTGAGGTGGGTCAGGGTGAGCAAAGAGGCTCACATATTGGGAGAAGCCAGAACGCAGAGGACCTCTGCATGCATCAGCTCACATCATCCTCTCTGTCCTCAGTCTTCCCCGCCCCCCAAAACTCTGCAGACGTCCTAGCATCCCAGGTGAACTTTGCATGTGCTGTTCTCTGTGCCTGAATGTTTCTTTTTTCTATGCCCACATGGCTCACTCCTTCCTTCCAGTCTTTACTTAAATGTCACCTTCCGGGTGTGAGGGCTTCATTGCCCTCAGTATAAAATTTAAACCTCCTCCCTTTCCCACTTTCTTTGATTTTTGTCCTTCTCACTAATCACCTGTGGCATACTGTGTATTTTTCTCCAATACCTGGAACAGTGCCTGGCACAGAGAGGATGCTCAGTGAAACATTGTTGAATGATGAGTTGAATGCATAAAATAAGACTTGGAAAATGGCATAATTAACCCTATTTTGCGGAAGAGAAAACTTAGTTTCAGTATGGAATTTACTTTCCTGAGGAGAGACATAGCTAGAATTTTTACTTCAGTCTGCATGGCTGCAGAAGTTAGTGTACCCAGAGAACTGGGTCTTTTTTGTCTCTTTCAATTATTCATAACTGTTCACTGAGCATCCACCTTATGCCAGGGATATAGCTGTGAATCAAGTCTGAGAAGGTCTGTGTTTTAGCTCTGTCCAGTGAGTGCGGTAGGCGTTAGCTAAATATTCACGGGAACAAATGTAAAGGGTTAGTGAGATGAGGGCCATGCAGGAGGAGACCACAGAGCTGGGGGATCCTATACTGGGGAACCTGACCCATCAGTGAGATCCAGGAGGACTTCCTGGAGGAGGTGCTGCCTGAACAGAGACCTGAAGTTAACTGAAGAAGGGGAAAGCGTGCTTCAGGAGGAGGGCACAACATGTGCAAACACTCTGAGGTGGGAGGGAGCAGAGTGGGGTACAGGGGCTGAAGAGTGACCTGTCCTGTTTTGGTGGGAAGTGGAAGCCAGGGGAGGACTCTGAGCCAGGAGGGTCCTGGTCTGACTCAGGTGTTCACAGGCTCCCTCTGATTGCATGTGGGGAACAGACAGTGGAGGACAGAGGAGTAGGGAGACCAAGGAGGAGACTGCTTCCATAGTCCAGTTGAGGTTATGGGTCCTGGACCATTGTGGGAGCAGGTCGGGCCTGTGCTGAGCCCATAGGACTGACTTGGGACTGACCTGGGCAGTCTCAGCCTTGGGATGCTGGGGGGTCAGGCAGGGCAGTGGCCTCCTCAAACAGGAGGGTTTCACACATGGATTCAGGTATAGACAGGGTGCTGACTTCTGAGGCCATACAAGGAAAGTTTCCCAGAGGTGGAGCCTCTGGAGAATTTGTATTTTTTCTAAAATTCTTTTTCTGTTTATAAATATCACCCATATTTCTTTTCTTTAAATTTATTTATTTATTTTTGTCTGCGTTGGGTCTTCGTTGCTGCACGCGGCTTTCTCTAGTTATGGCGAACGGGGGGCTACTCTTTGTTGCAGTGAGCAGGCTTATTGTGGTGGTTTCTCTTGTTGCGGAGCACAGGCTCTAGGCGCGCGGGCTTCAGTAGTTGTGGCTCGTGTGCTCTAGAGCACAGGCTCAGTAGTTGTGGTGCACAGGCTTAGTTGCCCTGCGGCATGTGGGATCTTCCCGGACCAGGGCTCAAACCCATGTCCCCTGCATTGGCAGGCAGATTCTTAACCCCTGCGCCACCAGGGAAGCCCTCACACATATTTCTTGCAACAACGAATGACAGCAACCTCAAACTTAGAAAAACCCCTGATATAGAAAGTGGAACTTCTTAGTGATCGTTAGCCAGAAATAAGGGCCGTTTCAGTTTTGCCCAGTGACTCAGGCCAAATGCTTTAGGGTGTTCCTCACCCTTGTCTTTCCCTCACACACACATCTAATCTGTCCGCAGATCCATGGGCTCCACCCACAAAAATCTATCCAGAATCCAGATTCTCCTCCCTCACTGCCCCCACCCTGGCCCAGCCTCCATCTTCTCCCTCCTGGACCATCACACAAGTCGTCTCCCTGCTCCCATCCCTGTGCCCCTCCATCTGCTTCCCACACTCAGCTGAGGGAGCGTGTAAACACTTGTGTCAGATCAGAGCCTTCCTGGCTGAGCCCTTCCCTGGCTGCATCTCATTCTAGGTAAAAGCCAAAGTCTGCAGTGATCTATTGTGTCTCCC